TGCTATTTCACGCCTCACATTCAAATTTTTCTCCACCCCCCTTCCCGCGTAGACTGACACCCAAACGAAAAAACTCTTCGCTGACTCGATGACCGATGCTGCGCCCTGTCATGGCTCCGATGCCACAAATCACATGACGATAACCAGGTCGGAGCTGGTCGTGCATTGCGCTTCACCCCCATTGGTTGGTCTCAATAGACTCGAATGTACAGCCACCGGTGACTATGAAGGTTCGGGTCTAACCAAGCACGTCTACGTTCTCTGTCCTGGTACGTTTGTGTCATTCCTAGAGTACTTTGTGCATGCTTTTAGACTCCCTCCTTTTGGAAACTGTAGGTTACGTAAGCACACTTATCTACCACTCACCCCATGATCGTGTAAAACGGGAATGGTGGTAATGAGGGTTTTAAAGGTAGGGCCTCATCATGGACAAGCAGCGAAGTGCGTTCAAAAAACAAAAATATATGAATTTCCGCACCATTTATATTTCTATGCTTATATATAGCAATGAGATTGAGAATTATATTTAAAAGTTGCACAAAAGCAACTGTCAATAAGTAAAAGGAAATGAAATAATAAAAACTACGACAAGACAACATTGTGCTTGTCGTTATATGAATGCAGTATTTAACACACAGATGGTTACTTCCCATAGCTATGAAATACTAAACCAAACCAAGCCATTTTATGTATTTTAACCTCAAAAATTATTGTGTAGCCTATCTTCATCCGCCCTTTCGTTACTTGTCTCGTCATCAGCATTGAACTGAAAAGAGATAGGTCTTTGTTCCGGTTTATAATTCTTCTCAGTCCTCTCACCCATATGAGATTTTAGCCATCTAAAACCCTTCTGTGTGGAATCCTGGCGCTCGTATTTTGACGGCCAGATCGTTTAGATAGTGCGCGTATACGAGGTCATTAGGCATATCAGCTGTTGCGCACATTTCCCCACCACTCCACTGACCGGCTTGGACGGTGACTCGGGCGTTGGAATGGGAATAAAGAGTGAGGTCGGCGGCTCAGCGTATTTTCCTCCCTATAAGTAATGTGATGCCCTTGAAGTCACCACGATGTACTAAAGGTCGTGACTTTGAAGGTTACCAACTGACAGGATAACTCGGACCGCGTGGTCAGCCCAGTTTGTGTTTGTGTTTTGTGGCCGACTGGTGCACTGGTGGACTAAGACTCAGGCCGCAATGGCTCCTTAATGTGGCCTTTATGGCACTCCCACTCCGTGCGATCCGATCCACGTGTGACAGCACGCCTTGGGACGGATCCGGCCTCCTTAGCTACCTGCGCCCTCGAAATCTCCGGTCTTATTGACTTGGTCGTGACGCCAGGTCCAGGTGTGTGGGTGCGGGGGGAGAGGTTGGAACAAAAGATGACGTAGATGCCGCGCTAGTCTACCCTCTCTATAATCCAGCGCAAGTCATCGCCCCTGCAACACCGTACCCGTGGAGCTTACAGCGGACCTCGTCAAAAGCGACGGTCGAACTGTCGGTCGCCACTTCCGTCGTGAGTCCGATATACCTAGATTGAAATTTCAAATGAAATTCTGACATGTGTTTTCGATCCGAAATAATCACTTAAGTAGCGTTGTAGTGCTACTTATTGTGAAGCGTAATCTCATGTTATGTCAGTCATGGCAGGATTCCGGCTTTAAAACGAATTTCCTTTCGGCCGTCCTTAAAAAACTCTTAAAAATGCTTTCTTAAGTAATCTGAATTTCCCCCTTGCTTTTATAGAAAAAAATATAAAAAGCTTTTTCCTCATCCTCTTTTGGTA